TAGTCATAGCATAGATATTGTGATTTAGTGACGATACTGACAAATTCAATGGCGGCTAAAGAAACTATAAAGCTAGCTTATGGCAGCAGGTAAAAATCCTTTATTTAGCCCCTCTCGTGTTTACATATGCTGCTCACGACACTAGTCTAAAGTTCAGATGGGGAAGTTGGAAACGTGGCCTGTTAGCTGCAAAGACGAGCGATCCGTTGTTCCTAAGCACCAATTATTGAGAGAGTTGGAAGACTACTTGAAGAAAGAGCTGGAGTTATTAGGCACCCCTCGACGCGGAACGCACCAGCTGAGCTGAGGCTCCAAGTAAATGACTGCTATTTACAAATTGCATTATGATGTGCTCTGCACAGGCTCACAGGGAAGTGGTAGAGAACTTCACTACTTACAAGCCATTGCTCGCTTCCATTAAAAATTAGTATGATCTAATCATTTTTGATCAGGAAAAAAAGATTAAGGAGCTGCTTCCCTTACAGGTGTGAAGAATAAGAATATCATTGCAGATAGACTTGTTGCAAATGTCATAATTGTACCAGTCTGCATGTAATTACGCTTTTTTAGTTTTAAAATACTTTCACAGCTCATAATTATTGGTAAATAATATATTTTTTTACTATAGGCCAAGATACGCTCAATGAGGGAGGAGTATGAACAAAAAATCATAGCAATGGAAGAAAGTGACAAGGAACGTGAGCTGCATTTTAAATCTACTGTAATGCATTTAATTATCCTTATGCATGTACTTGTACAGAGGATGAGAAGGAGAAGCAGCAGAATTGCCAGTTGCAAAAAGAGATCGACCGATTAATGGAAGAAGAGCTCTCCTATAAAGAACAGATAAAAAGAGTAAGTAAAAAATAAACTCCATTCAATTCTATTAATCATGAATTGATGATGTTATTATTACTATGACACAGTGTCTTTAAATGCAAATAATATCCTTCTTATACTGTATGTGTAGCTACAAAAGGAGGTAGCTGATCTATATGAGAAGTACCGTTTTGAGGCTGATGCAAGGTAAAGCACAGCTATATACATGTTGATGTTATTCAGATTGTTCCATTTTTACAGGAGACTTCTACAATGACTTGAAAGCTAGACAAAACGATGATCAACAAGATGAAGAAGTAATTATGGAAAAGGAAGACCTAGTTATTTTGAAATTGAAATTAGCGTATGTTATCATACTTTATACAATGAAGCACTATGGTGCAATGGACTTGCCTGCTGGAATTCACTTGAGTGATACGCATTACTTGTACTGTGATATTTTAAGTAATTTTGAAAAAAATTATTATTATGCGGGACTGCATAGTTATAATGATAATTAAAATAAGCTATGGGTGTGGTCAACAACTAACTAAATCATGGCACATGGGTAGGAGAAAGAAGAAAAGCTGAAATTTATTTTAGCATCTGAAGCTCTATTCCAAGAAAGAGTTGGCACAGAAAATTTTTCTAGATATTTAAAAGAGACTGAGAGAGTTTGGTTGCTCCTGCTTTCCCCAGTGCTGCCTGAAAAATTCTCAAAGAGGCTAAATCACAAACTTTGAGCAACTGTAACTCACAAACAACGAAGTTAGGACAAAATCGTTCTTTTTTGTTTTTCGTTAGATGGGATTTTCTACCTCTGAAGCAAATCTCGGCCCTGTAGAGTGAAACACGAGCTCTCACCTGGAGAGAGGTCCCCTGGTTTAGCAGTTCACAGCTTTTGGTGCCACGGGATGCTACAAGAGCATAACTAGATGAAAGAAAGCAACTTTATCTGTTGCTACAAGAAGAAATAGAGCTCTAGACTGCTCAGACAAAAATATAATTTTTTTTACAAATCAATTAAACTGTGTGGACAGAATGACAGAACGAGAGCACTAAAGTGTGTACCCTCGACACAATCTGTATATATGTAACAGTTTCAATAAATTAAGAGAAAATAATTGGCGAAAGTTTTGAGACAGAGAAGAAGCTTCAGCATGTACTAGATTTATTAAAACTTAGTGAATGTTTTGAGACAGATAGAGAATTTTTTGTTTTTTTTAGACAGAGCTCCAGCATATTTGCTGCACTGCTGCAGCAATGTAAAGGTGTGGCTCAATCAAGCCATGCTCCACCCCCACACACAGTAAATGGTGGCACATGGCCCTATGTGGCGAAGAAAGCTTTGGTTTTTCTCGACTTTTAAACAGTTTAGCATACATTTGTTAGGCTCTACTTGTTGCATATAAACTGCTATCTAGTCCCTAATGTTAAAAGACTCTGGCCGCTACCTCGGGAGAAGAGAGCCTCGTCTAAACTCACAAGGTATGAAAGTTTGAGCTACCATATCTTTAAAACGAAGACGATTGGAACAATTTCTCTCATATTAATGAAAGATGAGGCTTTGCTTTATTGTTTTATCTGCCCTGTTGCTCTTTTGCTTTCACTACGAAAGAGCTGCAGGAGAGCCGACTACGTTTAGCGACTTTGCCAGCTTCTTTTACCACGGAAAAGACAAATCAAGGATTCCCAAGATGGAGAATAACTTTTTATAGAGCCAGTGTTGATTATAAGACTCTCCAGGACAAGACAAGAAAGCAGTGTCAGCTCAAAAGTGGAGGTCAAAGCGAACACACAGACAGGACGACTGCTTTACCCTCGACTACGCCTACGCGGTCTCGGGTAATGACAGACAGACACACCGAGTACCTAGTCCTCGCCTACGCAAAACTGGGCGAGGCCAATGAAAGAGCTTGCACAATGTAGCCATGCTTGGGTAGGGCTACACGTGATGTTCTAATGATGAAAACATTGATTTACTTCTGTTTCTTCTCAACTGAAACCAACCATAGCCAATTTCGATATGTGGGTGCATACTGTATATAAAATTAATAGAGATGGGTGAATCCAGAAATTTGCAATTGATTCTGATTCCAAATGCTTTTGAGACTGATATCGAGTGCTACATCTTAGTGCACATGCGCAAAGCCACTTGTTATCTATTACAGCACTAAAATGCAATGATGATGAATAATTATAATATATTAATTACTGGCTTATTAACTACACGTATTATTAAAATTAAAGGGCGTGGTTGGGTGTGGCTTAATTTGGAATTGTTTCAAACGATTCCCACATCTCTTTCGATATGAGTACATTTCTATTTAGAATCAAAGGATCAAATACATCCCACTCGGAGTTGTCCATCACTAAAAATAAATTCATAACATGCCTAGGGTGGTCTATAAGATACATTTGCAACTAGGAAATCAAGCCTTTATCAGGAAGATATACATGTAATCAGATAATTAAAAATAGAATACCATACAAG